ATAAGCAAGCATGTCAAATAAGAAAATTAAGACACGCACAAATAATCCAGATTTTGGTATCCATCTCAAGATACCTAGTACGACATTAATTCCTAGTCTTTGGACAGAGAAATTAACTGTAATTGGTACTCTTGGTGCAATGATCAAACATTGACAATCAATTCTGTCAAATAATAGCCTTTCTTTGGACCGACTATTATTCACATGAAATGTCTTTATAATTGTCACACATTTATCATCACAAGCACGTTGTTATTTGGCCAAATTGTATCTTCCTTTGGGCCGAGCACAATTCGCATAAATAACTCCGAACAAAACATCTATGTATTTTCAATTAAATCAATCTACACAATATACCCATTATGAAACAAAAGTCAAGAATTGCAACTGAATCATATAATGCAATTGAAATTGATCCATTGTAAAAGGTTACATGTATTATCAATCTATACTAAATATGCCAAATAGTATTCTGTCATACACCATTCTATATTGACTCCATTATGAGACATAAAACAAAGGTCAAAAAATACGGCTAATCCATGCAGTGGAAATTCTGATTTCTAGATCCATAATGAAAGTCACAGATTTTGACAGTGATCTACACGCTACCAAAAGTGATGTATCCATTATAAACAGTCCAAAATTGCTGACTTGCTCTTGATGCAATTGAAATTCATTATAAAATGATCCGAAACTGCATATGTCTAAAAGGCAGATGAAATTCAGATCCCAAAAAAAAAAAACTTAAAATGGACACGTACAAAATTTAAAATAAATACTAACTGTGCCAAAAATTTCGAGATCCGATTTTACCGAATGCATCAAGAATAATTCTTAAACTTACCAGTTTAAGGAATTTCACAAAATTCAAACATTCTATTCGAGAAAAATGATCCAAATATCATACGAATAGAACATGCACAAATCCTAATAATCTAGCAAATGAGGACCGCTCTGATACCACTTGTTAGAAAATCAAATCAGATCCAAATATAAATTAAATCCTAAGATCAACATCATGCTAAATTACTAGGATTCACAGATTCAGATAATATACCTGTATCCATTGTAAACGATTGCCTACTGTTGCGGAATTACTGCGACAATCGACTACGTACCGATGAATGCAAATGAAGAGGGTGGTTTTGTGATCTTCCTCAACCAAATCTCCTTATTCCTCAATGGGACCGTGATTTCTTTTTTTGATGGGGAGAAAGGAAAAGAGTGTATGATTTGATATATTGGGGACCATAACCAAAATATCCTTTATATACTATTTAATTAAGGTTCTCATTATCACTTAATTAGAGTAATATTAACCAGTATCTACTCACTTAGTCCATATTAATTTGAGTAGTCTATGGGCATACAAAAAATAGACCACTTGATTTTTGCCCATTATATTAAATAGCTAATATAATTGTATTAATATGTTGCCAATATTAATTTAGGAAAATCGTGTTTTTCTAACATAACACACTTTCTTGCCAAACACATTTTGAATTTGTAAAGGATGTCAAACTCCATATAATGTACAAGAAGCAATATTGAAGAAACAATCAACTACACGATATTTATATGGTGGTATCTCTATCTATTATCTGATGGACAAACTTTAGAACCTGTTTGAGTTCCCCTTTTTTTTCTTTTCCAAAATGCAATTTGAAATAGTATTTTGACGTAAGATGTATGGTTAAAAAATAAGGAAAAATTTTATATTTGTGTATAATATTATTACATTGAAAAATGTATCGTTGAAATTATTACAGAGACAAATTATTTTAAAAATAATGGCGACGAAACAAAGGCTTAATTTTCTTGCCAATGAAAGATGAAACTCAAAATTCTTACATGTAGGACTAAAGGCACATTACATAGTAAATCTTTGCCTTCTCTACTTATTCTTTTTGCAAGTAAGATTGGGCGTAAATTCAATCTATAGAATCAGTTGCATTTTTGTTGTCAAAAACTGTAGCAAGTTTGTAACACCTTACTTTTGCTTTTGTTCTTTATTTGTATTTTCTGTCTCTTGGACCTACATTGGGAATATTAAGAATATTCATAACAATACAAATGTATTGCATGAATTATGTTGCTTCTTTTTTTTTTTTATTCAATTATCGAGTCATCAACTACGAATTATTTTAATCAAATACCAAAATGATTTTATTACATAAATGATATTCATAACGATATGTGTTATACCCATAACGCACATCATGTAAGAGTGCCAAAGTGGATGCCAGCTTAGACTTGGTCACATGGCAAGAAGGTTTGAACAATTCTATGCCCCGAAAAAAATAATGAGAATTGTAGAACAATTAGTCGCAAAGTTGACATGTGTAGAACGGAACTTCAAAACTCAATGTTTTAGGTAGGAGAATAGACACTAATTCACAAAGTGAAGAAGAGCTAGGGTTATAGTCTCTTTGTCAATAGAATTGGTCGAGTGCATATGCAATGTCAGTTAGTCAATCAACATTTGTATTGGATAAATTAAGCTCAAAATCTACAGTACTCACGAATATCTTGACAAACCGACCAATAAAAATCAGGCTTCCTCTAAATAAAAGTTTGATTTTATTCATGAACGGTGAGTAAATCTCATTGTACTTGAATTCAATCTTATTACAACCTCACTAACTTAATCATCATAGACTAAACTCTTCAATTGTTGTACCACTCCACTCTTCCAATATCAACAATATGACAATTAAATGAATTAGATAAGTATTCAGTTTCATTTCGAACCTTCAATTTGTAATTTTAATGAAACAGATTTTCGTATAAATTCTCATTTTTTTTTTCTAGTCGAATACACATGCACAATCATCACAACAGTAACACCATGTTACAGTAAGAAATCCAATCCATGCGTGGTAGTTGGGGCTCTTATATTTCATTACACCCTAACTTACGGAGTGGGGTGAAGTGGGGCAGGGTCCCAATTTCTTAATTTCTTGACCTCAGCCAATGACACCAATTTGTCCTTTCTTTTTGGGGAGTGCTACATGTACATAATTGTCTACATAATGGTGTTCATAATTATAAATGGCATTGGATCCAACCTTTAATTTAAATCTCACAATTGCACATCAACAATCGAATGATTGCCACATCACATTATGAATACTATTATGTGCAATAATTATTTACAAGTAGAATTTTCCTTTCTTTCTCCTAGTTCGTGTGAAATTTATTTTTTGGAAAAGTGATTTTTTCAAAAATAAATTAATTTCAAAAATAAATTTAATTAAAAGTAAGAAGAAATTATAAAAAAATATAGAAAGTGCTTTTAAAAATATATATATATACTTGACTGAGAATGAGTGAAGGGGAAAATTTATTTTTATACAATCAATTTCAAACAAAGGCCTACTTCGTAAATAAATATAAGCCGAATAATGCAGAAACCAGTTGTTTGAAGATATTTCCTATCATTTTCCTTCATTTCTGAACTTATTTTCATTGAATTCTAATCATAATTTCATAAAAACTTCTACAATCGTTACTATATGCTAGATAACAAAACTTTTTTCGAATTACATTATTGGATTCAGAACGTGATGTATTGGACCCACCACCAATATCAAACTTGACCTAATTTTTTTAAAAAAAAACATCGACTTTACTCTATAATATAAATTAAACTCACTTGAAAAGCAACAAATTTTTTCAAACATATTCATATGATGTAAAATTGAAAACACTCGCTCTAAATACGTACTAATCAAAATATAATATATACAAAAAGATATTTATTAGTGCTCTTTACAAGAAAAAGTCACCAAACACTGCTCAACTTATAAAAGTACTATCTAATAAGAAAAATATGATAAAATATATAAGGTTGTAACTTAGTGAATAGACAGTTTGCAAATAAATAAATAAAATTTCATTTATATAATTTCTTGAAAAATTTTATTCTATTATAACTTTAAGCTACTCTAAAATTTGATAATTACTTTCAAGACTGGAGCAAGATGGAATAATAAAATCGTTTATCCTTTATTCTAAATATGCAATTGTAAAGTATAATGAATATAAATAATCTAATATAAACGAAAATCCGAATAAAATTGTCATCTCACAATGTTATAAGATGAAATCTTTTATTCTTAAACTCCATACCATTGAATAAATGTACACATGTATTGATGAATCTCAAAGTACATGGCAAGTTAATCATAATCTAATAACTAATACTACGCGTGAAATTTCTTCAAATAAACAATATTTAGATTCGTGATTGATATTTTTTCTATATCGTGACTTGATGCAAAATATATAAATGTAAATTCCTATAGGGGCCCCTAGCAAAAAGAATTAATCCTTGAGTACAGGGATTAATTTCACAGGAGCCTGTCAGGTCCCTCACTATAGCAGGCGGGCCCCACATGTAATAAAAAAATTAGGACAACCCCATTCTATGTGTATCCTGGTAGGGATAATAGGTCCTATACTTCAAGCAAGATTGTAGTAAAAATGTAGTAACTATACTCCAAACATGTATATGTGACATCTATGGAAAAAAAGATAAAGGGATAGGGCCTCTGTCCAAATAGCCATGCCAATTAGACACCCTAAATGTGGTCCTGTCCGTCTAGCATACTCGACATCTATATCTCTACATTTTAGCATTGTGCGAACTCTATTCTCACTTACCGGAAAATATTTGTTTAGACGTTAACTAATACACTCGAGAAGGGGGGCAAAAAGGGAAAATTTATTTTTAAAAATATTTTCTTTATTCCCAAATTCAAATAATAACAATTCTTACATTAAAAGATTGGAACATTTAACTGTTAGGTGGCTTGATTGTGTGGTGGGCAAATGGTCATTTGAAATGGTCGGCAATAGCTCTTTCCTCCCAATTAATGGCCCCATCTCCATGTGATTAATTGGAAGAAAAAATTCCTAAATCCTTTTCCCATTAAAATAATAAAAATAATAAAATTCACTTTCCAAAGACTTTCTGCTTTATATATTCCCCGCTCTTTCCTCCCAACTTCATCGCTAAGCATCACATTTTTTCTCAGTTATACAAAAGTTCCACTATTTCCCTTCCTTACTTCCTATTCCCTCTTCTTATCGTCTGCATTTTTGCAGCAATTTTATTTAACAGATTACATTTTACCCTTAGAAAACCGTATAACTTTGCTGTTTCTTGATCAGTCTGACGATAAATTGGTGCTGATTCATGTGTTTCTACTAAATGATCCAAGGTTAAAATTTTCTTGATCAACTGCAAATTTTCTTAAGATTTTTCCAATGGAAAAAGTAAGTTCCTGGGACAGAAAGATTGTCATCAGTGAGCTAACACAAGGTAGAGACCTTGCAAGTGAACTGAAAAACCAACTTCAGCCCGCAAAATCGCGCGAGGCATGTCAACATTTGGTGGAGAAAATACTTTCGTCATACGATAATGCATTGTCACTGCTCAACTGCATGGCTTTAATTGAAAATCCTTCACAAGGTAATGGCTTGTTAAGATCAGCTAGTCCAAGAAGTAGTGATGGTTCTGATCTTATTGATTCGAAAGATCTTGTCATCAAGAAAAGGTAATTTTAGACAGTTCGTCGTTTTTTTCGTATCTTATCCATTTCAAAATAAATTAAAATATTTTTTTAGAGTTTTTTTCTGGGTTGATTTACAGAAAGACATTAGCAAAATGGAGTGCGCAGGTAAGGGTTGGCTGTGGAACAGGGCTAGAAGGCCCTTTCGATGATGGGTATAATTGGAGAAAATATGGGCAGAAAGATATTTTTGGGGCTAAATTTCCAAGGTGAGGCATTCGTCATTTCATGTTAATAATGCTCTTTTACTTTCAGCCCGAGGAACTGAGGCAAATATACATAAAAGATAGAAGTTTGGTCGCGGTATTGGATATGATTGGACAATATAATAAACGAAGTGTTAAGATCTTCTAGTCCCTTATTATTGTAACATCTACCTTTTCAAGCGGTCGAGCAAGATGCAAGAAATAGATTGTTTAATGGGACTTTAAAGCTGACCATGTCTTGTCTTCTTACATCTCAATTAAATGTATAATTGAATCTTAAAAACATTATAATGGAACTTATCTACTTGATGTTTTCGCCGACCCTTTGACGAATTTTGTTTGGACATGTCCTGTTTTCACCGAGTTAAGAAAACTACGTTGCATATTTGGTACATAGTACTATTTAAGATTGAACATTACAATCCACCTCACCAAACCAACCAGCGGGTCCAGTACTCTAATGGGACTTAAATTCTGAGAAGGTGAATTAAAGATGATGAAGCCAATTCCGACATGTCTGTCTTCTTACATCTCAATATTATTATATTAGTAGGCCTAAAAACATTGTACTATGACTCATCAAGTTGCTGCTCTGTGGCCTCTCTGATTTTGTTGTTTTGACAGTGAAAAATATGCTCTTTTTTGTGTCTAATGTAGATTTTTTTTTTTTTTTTTTTTTTTTTTTTTTTTTTTTTTTTTTTTTTTTTTTTTTTTTTTTTTTTTTTTTTTTTTTTTTTTTTTTTTTTTTTTTTTTTTTTTTTTTTAATTTTGCAATTACATACAGGGCTTATTACAGATGTACTCATCGACATACACAAGGATGTTTAGCAACAAAACAGATTCAAAAAACAGATGAAGACACTTCGCTTTTCAAGATCAACTATAAAGGAAGACACAGTTGTATTCGAGAGACAGAAAAACAGAAGAAAGAAAATTCTCTAATATTAAAGAAAGAAGAAGGAGATGAAGAAGAAATCCAAAGACATGAAGCTCAACAAAAAATGATCATTCTTAAAAATGAATCTCTAGAATTGGATACTAAGGAAGAAATTTTCACTTCCTTTGAATTTCCAGAACCTGTTAATGAAAGCAATTTCTCAGCAAGTTATTCACCTTCATTTTTATCTCCAGCAACGTCCGAGTCATATTTCTCAAGGATGAACCATTTCGAGATTCATCACAATTTACGAACTTCAGAATCAGATTTCACTAAGATAATTTCGGATCCAACATCTGTTACTAACTCCCCATTCGAAGACCTGGATTTGTCAATTGATCCAGGGGTTTTGGACCCTAAATTTCTTGATACCTTAGAGTATTTCTAATTTCTTAAGTTATTCCTTGGATTATTTCTAGTTTCTTAAGGTTTGTAATGAATACAGTACATATTGCTCCTGGTTGATCCTCAATGAGACTAAGTCACATCAGTTGTTAGCAAAGAGAATTTTCTATGCAACTTCTGCATGTTTTATTTTGAATTAATTAGTTTTCATGCATCAGTATTGTTTATAGACACCCCGAGATATTGATGACTAAATCATTCCCTGTTTTTTAGTATGTTGTCTTCATATATTATTAGTGGACAACAAGTTAGTCCTTTTTTGACAATTTCAAAAGTAGCTTTAAACTTTTCAAAACCCTACCGAACGAGCCTTAACTTGATAAATATTAAAATACGTCATTCTTAGGTACAACAAAACTAGAAACAAGTATAGATCTCGCAGCAGTACTAATGATGTCTATTCAAACAATAAAATTTACCATTGAGTGCATATATGATCCACAAAAACAAGGGGAGAGAAAAAAAATCATAAAATAAAAATTTATAAACCATTCCGTAAGTACATATCATACAAGTAAAAGAGCTTTGGACATACCATAAAAACTAGTAATTTGCTAAAACTCAACAAATATTTGAACTACAAATAAGAAATGACAGGTTCAGAGCCCTCCCTCCAGTAGCCCATGGGGATTGTAATTCGATGAGAACTTGAGCAAGTACAAACATATTAGTTCCATTTCAAATTTCACTGCCGGGATATGCACCAGGGTCTTGGGGTTGCATCCTTTGTTTATGAAATCGAAGGACAGATCCCTACGCTGATGGTCGCTACTACATCTGTTCAAGAAAAGAGAGTAACCGCTATAGTGTGTATCCTTCAAACATTAATCCATGCTCATTCTTGAGTTGTTTTTTTACCATTTTCACTATTTCCAAATCCTGAATCATTAGCTATATATATCTGTTTCTGCAATAGTCACCAAAACGCCGCATCTCATAAGCATCACCCTTTTCTTTTCTTTTCTTTTCTTTTTCTCTCCTTATGACCGTAGTCTGGAAGTGTCCGAGTCAGCTTACGCGTACCTCAACTAATCTCACGCAGCCCTGAAGTTTATAGCCGGATACTCATCTTAGTGGTCTTGAGGGGACTCGAACTGGTGATCACTGGGAAGCAAACCCAATGCTTCATCACTGAGCTATCCCTCAGGGTTATCTCAAAGCATCACTCTGAAAATAAATCAGTACAACGAAGAATATCTTTCCAGATAAAAGTTCCAAACTAAAAGTGCCGGATCGACACAAGTTGGACAACTACAATACAAGTCTTCATATCGATATAGGTCAACAAACTAGAAGTGTGTGCTTTTGTTGGCAGATGCTGAAAGTGTTGTTACTATGCAAGTAATTGGGCTGCAACAGCAACCAGATTAACTATTTTCCAATCTTACCCCCGAACACTCCTTAGACATGTGAACCATAACAAAAACGTTTTGAGGTATGATACTATTAGCACCAATATTAAAAACTAGCATAAAAGATACACATTCCATTTGTTAAAATAGTAAGTGTCATTGTCAAACATAGAAATGCGTGCAAATGCATTAACACATACATATTATGTTGTTGAATACACGATCACATATTGGGGTTAACTATAGTAAACTGTATAAGGGAAGAAGAGTCTTGATCATGGACTTGCAATTCAATGATGAATTAATGTAAAGGCTTCCATTCCTTCTGGAAAGCCAGTCTTCAACATTTGGTCAAGTTCAATCAACCTTGAACAGGCACCAACTAGATTGAAGCAATATGATTATATCGCCATGTCCCTCGCCTACTAATCATTATGCTGTCCCTCCATGAACAAATATCTGTATTCTAGAAAAATAAAAGCTTAACACCTATTAAATTTCATCTTCGCATACCATCCATGCTTGAATCACTAGTTCAAACTATGTGATCACAGAGCATATTTATATTTGGAATCAATTCAAATAAAGGTCTTAATCATCCATTCTAACAAAACTCTTTTAATTATAATGGTCTGACTTTAATGATTGGAAGCATTAGATCAACTCAATGGGATACCACCTTGTCTTTAGCACACACTCCAAGCATATAATACATCACCGAAGATAATAATTTACAGGCGTATGCACATAAATGATGAAGAAGTTGGTTACCAATTTAAGTTCCTCAACCCACAGATATCCTATTTTATTTGGTTAGAGTTTTGCAACAAACCAATTATAAGCTGAAACATTAACTGATTTTGGATAATATATAAGCTAAAGTTTACAAGTTTTAATATGCAGCATTTTCAAGGTTTCTGAATTGATTTATTTCCTCTGGAGACTGGAAACTAGCCAGACCAAATTGATTTTATGGGTCAGTTTTGGTCTATTTATTATTGAAAGAATATACATGGTTTTGCTTTTAGTTCTGATATCGAACAGAACCACGATAACCCCTAATGATGAAAATGTAACTCCACATCCCATACTAACCAACTAAGATAGGTCTATTCTTCTTAATAGTACATATGCAGCCCTACTGACGCCTAGCAAATATCATTCAGACATCAACAGTTCACCTGGCATACACTTCAACAGAAATGAAAAAAGATGGCCAAATCATATTAAAGACAAGTCTATTGAGACATGGAATCAGCGAGGACCTATTAGCTATTAGCACCAAAGATAAGCACCAATAACGAGTGCAAATAACTGTACAAAAATTGGTCATAGAAATACACACTTCTTATATTTCTGGCTTCCAGGCCGTAAATTCCCAGCTAAACTGACTATGGAGAAGCTCTCAAGATATAGGAATCTGACGAAAGATGACCCAATCAGACTCTCCATTTTTCTCACAGTTGAAAAAAAAAAAAAAAAAAAGGATTCTAGCAAAAGAAGTGGCAAGTGTTCTATAGCAAATATATTCTACAATCAGCCTAAGGAATGTTTGGACTTTCTCAACAACGGCTCATCTGAATCCACAAACAATCTCTTCCTCGCCTTTGATGTTGATTTCAAGCGCTTAACACTTGAGTGACAATGAATTAAGCTGCCAAGTCCTTTGATACCTTGAGTGCCCAATGAACTAAACTCAGGATGGGCATTTAATCTTGGCTCGGTTGAAGGTATATCCTCTTCAATATTGGCATTTTCATCAGCCGCCTTATATTCCACTTGAAATTCTTTTTGTTTCTCGTAAGACTTCTTCTTCTTAGTCAAATTATAATCATCCAAATCAATAAATTTAAACGTGGCAGCATTAGCATTAGCCAACGTACTTCGAGTAAAATATTTGTCAGATTCTGCCTCGAAAAATTTATGCAGTTTTTTCGACTCCAGCAATTCAGACATCAATTCATACCTAGAATTCAAAGTTACCTCTGAAACAAATGCAAATTTCCTAAACTTGGACGTGACAGAGACCATATAACCAACATCATCATCATCCATAACACAATCCTTATCCCATAAAGCAAGTTCCTTGAGCTCTTCCAGCAACAATATTGAACTTTCACCATATGAATTTCTAGTCCCCAAACTCCTTTCTTCTTCTCGGGGCACTGGGGGTAGGGAATTTTGAAAATTCATAACGCTGAGTATGGGAGTGTGTGTCTGCTGCTTTTCACGTACGTCGTAGCCCTGATCAGGGGTTGAATCGTCTTCATAACAGACGCTGCAACAGGGAGGAGTCGTAGTTTGATCATTCTTGTCAAGGCAAAGTTCACTGAGGAATATTTGAGGATCTTGCACGGAATTAACGGGTGATTGTGAATATTGAAAAGAAGATGAACAGCATTGTTGTTGGTTACTGGGGCTATTTAATGGGATAGGGTCAAAGCAGAGATAGTCAGAAAGAAGATGTTGAGGAATAGGGCCAAAGAGGCTGTATTCTACGCGACAGCGCTCGGCGGCGGACGGGTGGGGCTGTGGAGGCGATTTGGGAAGTCGAAAGAAGGGGACTTTGCAGAGGCGCCAGATAGATGCATATGAATCCATTCTTCATCAACTTTAATCATACAGTGAATCACACAGTAGGAGTCTTGTTTGGCGGTGGTAGTGTTGGTGGTGGCGGCCGTGGCCGTTGACGGTTGGCGTATGTGTTGTATACATACGAGTCGGGTTAAAAGATGTATTCATGGGAAGTTTCGGGGGGGTTCTCTTAATAATGTTATAAAAATAATAATAAAATTTATTACAGATAAGGAAAACAGTCTCATCAATTCAGATTTATACTCATATACGAGAATTAATTATTTTTCATTCCAATGAAAAGTAATTATCAGATAATCAAATAAACAATGATATGATTATGTGCAGCCTAGAACATAAGAACCAAAAATAAAAATGAAAAACCAAAAAGTCTCTATTATAAGAATGTAGCAATTCAAACCAACATCAATTTCATACTTTTAGATATGTTTGTTTCGTGTTTCTTTTCTCTATAGAATTTCAGAATGAAAGCATAAGCATTGTGAAGCAATTCACTCCCAAATTTGATGACTGTAAAAAAATAAGGTTGAATTATGCTGCAAGATCCACTCCCAAATTTGTACGCTGCCTCATGCACTGAACTTGGTGACAATGGAAATGTAGATGATATTTTTTTGTCAGCAAACTCGAACAGGTTCAGTTGAGAGTTACTGAAAAGTGTATTATTATTGAAAGTAACATTGTAGATGAAAAGATCGTCTTTTTAGTTATTTTCAGAAGTTCTATTTAACATAACATGGAATTAATGTTTTCCGAGTAGGGAATAGCTAAACAAAGCAACATTGGAGGGCGAACCTACAGGAAGGTAAAAGGATTGGAGCGGGACGAAGCAAGAGCCACATTGCAACAAAGGTTAGTATTAGGATTTCCAATCATAAATTTTAATGTTTTAACATGTTAAACGTTTTAATTATTTTTTATTTGGATTGTGATAAGTAAAGGGAAAAACCTGGAAAAGATGAAGCGAAAGATTTGTTGGGATATTTCCATTTTCTGATTACGGCTGCATCTAAGGAAACAAATATGGGTATCGCTATTTCTATCCACGTTTTTTATAAGTATAAATACATCCCATTCTAAATTCAACCCTAATAAAAAATTTACAAATTAAAAAACAAAAAATACTATTTACATCACGTTGTTTCCAATCTTGCCTTATTAAATATATTCATTTAAATACTATATATCAACGTGAATTTTATATATTAATTGTAGGTGGCCAATATCAAAATATAAACAATTTTTACTTATTAATTCTCGTGATAAATTATGCTTACCATCATCTAAACTTTACAAATGCACAATTCGCATATATTAGAAATAGGCACGAAGAAGTTAAGCGACAGCAACATGATTTCAATCCAAAGAATCACGTGCTTTAACATACCATTTTTTCGGGTTTTTTGGTTGAACATGTGTTGTTAATGTCTTTAAATTAATATAAACAAAAGAAACATAGTGAAAGGTTGACATGCTGACAATCATTTTCTTCTGTGTTTTGAATTCATGTTCGATAATATTATATGGAGCTATAATATGACAAACTTTGTTGAACTATAGAGTACCTCAAATACTCCGACTGCAAGTAAGGGGCCTACAACATCTAAGAGTAATAATTTACTAGTGTCAAGGCCAAAAATTCTTTCCTATCCAGATTTTTTTAATCATACACACCCCCACTAGTACTCGGCTTATTACTCTCCAAACCCTCATCAGACTCATTCCTCGGAATGTCCATGAGCTGCTCTAATTAATTATGGAAAACTCCAAACTCTTGCAACAATTACAGTCTCTATCCGATTTAGATCTCACAATACTGAATAATATTTCATTAGTATTACTACTTCTATTATGGATCGACGAATTATGAATATCGAAAGAGCTCTCACTAGTATTCAAGTGATTTGAAGAGGTGAATTGATTAAATAAGTCATGAGAACAACCGGAATATGACAAGAGATTTGTCACTTTTTTAAAAAAAAAAGTCACTTTTTTTTTTTTTTAATTTTTTTCACTTTTTTTTTTTTATTTGTTTATCTTTTTTTTTTTTTTTTTCCTTAGTTTTTTTTATTAGAAGATATCCTATAAATTTTATTTTTGCCCCCCTAAGCCAAGTCGTCTGGGTCCGCCCCTGACAAGGAGGGGTGGTGGCGGAGGAGGAGGAGGAGGAACTAATCTACAGTGAGGCCCATTTGGTAGATTTAGATGGGGGATGGGGGTGCCAATTTTTTTTTTTTTAGAATTCCAAGAAAATGAATCTAAACATTTAAATCGATTTAAATTAAGGGTTGAGATTATTTATCAAAATCACTTGTCAAAAAGCTTTGTAGGAGGAACGCTCCCCTATATTTCCCAGGCTGCTCATTATTACTCATGTCTATTTTAAGTAAATTTATATATGATTTAAAATATGGTAAGATTTTATAAAAGTGGATGTACTTATAAAAAGTATGGATGAAAATAGTGAGTAGGTGTCCTCATAGGAAGGTCCTCTCTCTGCTCTCTCTCTCTCTTTAAGCTGTGAGGTTGTTGGGGGGATTTTCAACCCTGAAGATTTCACATCTCCTCACTAGTTAGCATTTGTCAATGTTGTACCAATTTGTTATGAATCATAGATAAAAATATAGATGAAAAACCAGCAGAGCAATTTGATAAATCTATGTGTGATCATACTTTTACGTACTTTTGGTAGAGGAGAAACTAGCAGAGCAATCTAATAAATATATTTACAATTTTTAGAATTTGAGAATACATAAAAACATTCACATGGAAGATCATGCATTCACAATTTTTAAAAGTATTGTGAAACAAACATTAATTGATGCAATCAAAGGCTCATTGCCGACCTTTTGCGGTGAATAGGGCGGATATGGAAGCAGTGATTTGTTCGGGTCCTTGAGTTCTCTTCCTTCTTTATGGAAGCAGTGATTTGTTCGGGTCCTTGAGTTCTCTTCCTTCTTTATGGAAGCAGTGATTTGTTCGGGTCCTTGAGTTCTCTTCCTTCTTTATGGAAGCAGTGATTTGTTCGGGTCCTTGAGTTCTCTTCCTTCTTTATGGAAGCAGTGATTTGTTCGGGTCCTTGAGTTCTCTTCCTTCTTTATGGAAGCAGTGATTTGTTCGGGTCCTTGAGTTCTCTTCCTTCTTCCTGGTTCAATTATCATGAATATTTGGCTTCTTCCTCCTCCTTTCTAGTTTCTTCTTCCATCTTTCTGGTTTGGGTCGATTGTATGATGAGGGAGTGTAAGGGTTTTGTACGTGGGAAGAGGAGAGAGAGGATACATGACAGGTGGAAAACTTGATAAAATAGAATTTTTGGAAATGTTGAATTCCATGGAAAATAAAATTATACTCTGCCAAAGAAATTATTTTTCTTATTTTCAAAGAAAATATAGGCGCGTGACTAAAAGTAAGAAAACATTTTTCATGTAAAAATATCAATCAAACAACATAAAAGTATGAATTAGATGGGAAAAAAGGCATTTTTCATGAAAATTATTGATAATCAAATGCACCCTTAATCTATCTTTTTGGACAATAACTTGTGTGTCAATTAATTTTGGGGCATCAACATTCATGAAACTCGAGGGCAAACAATCCTGTTCCACTTCAAGGTAAATGATAAAGATCCTCAAAAATTACTCATCAAGACAGCGAAGCACGATAAGCGTACACAATGTTAAACAAACACGAAAACTTTTGTCACTAGTCCTATATTATTATAGAACAACAGGCTTCAACGCTGAGACAAAAGCTTTCTCTACATTGGAGGCTTAACTAGGAAGTAAGACACACTAATACAACGAACCTACTCATACGCCTCCTATAAGAGGTGATGCGGAACCCTTTGTTCCTAGTTGAACTACATAAAAGCCAGAAGACACACTAGTTCCACAACAGGAAATCTACTACCAACAGTCGCATATAATCAATTCACAATTTCACATTGTCATTATTTTGCTTCATCTCCATCTCTGCCAGCACCAGTGGCTTGACCCTCGGGTTTATCTTGGGGAGTTCCTCCACATACATCATTTACCCCAGAATTTGGAGTAGGGATACCGCTGCCTCCTCCAAGATTAGCATCATTGTGTGTGGTTTGTGCATCATTGCTGGCACCACTGGGCCGTAAAACCATTTGTGCTTGCATGGCTTGTTGGGTCAGATGCTGCCGCTGATCTTGAATTGGATGTGGATTGTTGAACTGTAAGGGTGCTCTTGGGGGGAAGATACCTGGCTGCTGAGCCATGGCTGTAGCCTGAGGATGCTGCAGATAGAACCCTCCTTGTTGCATTGCTGGATGTGGAGACATCTGTATGTGCAAACACGTGATTAAGAGCTTGTTCTATAGTGCTTTTAACTACTTATAAGTTGTGTGTCCAACAAACCATGTGCATAAAAAGTATATTTGACTAGTTTAAATTAAAATTTAATCTTTCCCGTTAAACTGAACTAAGCCTGGCTGAATTCAAATACCTGGGGTTCTTGTTCTCATCAAGGTACTGCATCATACATTTGATACGACATTACACATCATAATACAAATTACACTGCAACAACTGATGGCAGAAACTGCCAAGTGTGATTTGCATCCAGATAGTTTGATCATTTTTTTCGTAAAGTGAAATGTACATTATATAAAAAAATGAGATCATCCACCCTTGCAATTTTGCCTGTGATGACTTGTTCATTCTTGTATAGCCAGTTCACTAGCAAACAAATTGATAAATATACTCGGCCATTAAATCAAGATGGGAAGGTCTCTAAGTTCACCTAAGCTAAAATCTCAAGCAATGAAAAATTTTAAGACTAGCTAAAATTGACCTTTAGATAGTGGAAATAATTTTGAAATGCAAACTTCCTGTCAGGTTTTGAAAAGGAATTTTTGTTTCTGTAACAAGTTGGAATTACATATCTTCCACTAATAATTGCTCCGGTCCTAAAGGTTATGACTTTTCTAGCCTCTCCATTTTATTTTTTGTTGGAGAAGAAAACGGAAAGAGAATCTTTCAAGTGATGTTCTCATGAGTAACATAGCTGATCCTGGTACCTGGAACTGCTCAACTGGCAACTTTCCAATGGCTCTGATGCTCGCACTCTCCAAAATAGTCGGAGTACCGTGTCAGACACGACATGGGTATGGGTATGGGTATGGGATATGGGTTGGATCCTTCAAATTTTAACCGGACACTCCATCTTTTTTGCTTCGCCTTCTTTCTTCTTTCTTTGAATATTTTTTTTTTTCTCTCTCTCTTTTCCTTTACTTTCCCTTTTCTTCTTTTCTCTTTTCATCTCTATAAACTTAGCGTGCCGAGGGGGTGAAGAAGGATGGCCACTAAGTTTTCCCTTCTTTTTCTTCTTTTTTCTTTCCATTTTCTTCTTTTTTTCTTTCTTTCTCTCTTAGTAATGGTGGTTTAAGTTTTCATTTTTATAAAATGAAAATGAGTTCCATATAGTACTACGTAGTGCTCCACTAGATCCAAATTACAATCAAATCCCTCATTTTCTATTTCATATGACATTTAGTAATTATCATGATTGAAAACTAATCCCAAAATTATATTTTATTAGTCTTAACCCTTTATTCAATATTCATTTCCTTCTTTATCAATAATTTATTTTGATCTATTCAAAATGACATTTTGGATTAGTAAAGACATTGAAATTTGAAAGACGTACCCACGTACCCGTGTCCAAAATTTGGACTATTTTTTAACCATGTCCTGGTATACTACATTTTAGAAAATAAAAAATTCGATACTTAGATACATATCGTACCCGATACTGGTACCCGAATCCGAGGATTATAGTCCAATGGTACACCCACTCAAAGAAACGATTCTTAAACATGAATTTCAAAGGCCATTAAAATTTTGGTTGGCAGTTGTATGCAGTGAGGTCGTGCCGGGAATGAGTATTTTGTTGGCCTTATGACAATGGTCTTTACGCTACCAGGCAGTGGAAATGTGAGGACAAAAAATGACTTTAATCCCCCAATATCACCTTACATATGCATTGGCTAGCATGAAGTTTACCTAAATTTAGGCCTTAAATTGCAGGTTCATATCTACACATGTAAAGCTTTAACAACAGACAGATACTCCTTGTATTTGTAAGACTAGGCAGTCATGCATGCAAGCTTCATAGGCATCATCAAGTAACGAATTCCAGTCAACTACAGCCCTCGTGATATGAAGTCTTCTCAAGGTAACAGCTGTCATTGATATTCCAAGTCAATTATATTTGTTCTCTAAGGCTCAGAGTGTAATAACCTCAAGTAAATTGTTAAAAAGAGTGAACCGCCATATCAAAAGGAGTCCAGTGAACCAACACTTTTTCAAGCGATAAATAGCACAACTGGAACTAAGTTAAATGAGCAGGATCTAGTCAAGCAAGACGCCACAAGATCAAGTAGCCGGAAATTATACATTTGTCTCACATGAAGGTCATGGTACAGGAAGTAGTCTAAAAGGTCAATCTTGAATAAATACGAGAAGTACATACAATAGAACTTATAAGGAATTTACACCATTATAGATGAACAAGAAAGGATTCATTAGATTACATAAATCATTGTTCATCCTAAACAAATATAAGGTGCCATTCTGATTGTAAAATATAGAATATTCAATCAATTGAACAAATACAAGCACATGTACCCTTCCAACTACTATTAAATCACGGTTATTTTCCACACACCTTGTAGTAGTAATTCCGCTATCCACCCTGTCGATTACATAAGCCAGATTACCAAATACTAAGTCAACCCATACAGAAAAAGGATAATCAGTCTTGCATTATTACATACAAACATAATCCAATAAAGAACATAACAAAATTCCTCATCAATTTACAGAAATAAATAAACCGAACATAAATACCTTCTGAATCTGCTCAGTGGTAATGTTAGCAGGTGGAAATGAAGACATAACTGGAAACATCTGCCTCGGTTGCTGCATCTCTACACCTCTCCTGTTGAATAAAAAATAAAAAATAAAATATGATCCATCAACAGTAAAAATGCATAAGAAACCCACTAAAATAAAAACAAAACAATCCTTTTAATGGGCAAGAATTACATAAAATTAATATGAAACGGACACAACGAATTGCTTTAAGTTCACTTGTGAGTGTCTTTTAAGGTTGGGGTTGTCTTCTAAGGTGGAAATTCAAGCGAGAAAAAGTGACAGTGTCTTTTACCTGCTTAAGAGTAAGTGGGGTTGTTGACTTGTGAGTGTCTTCTAAGGTTTTGATGGAGAGAGAATGAACTGAAACTGGAATTGAATTGGGATTTTTTTTTTTTTTAAAAAGAAAAAAAAGTTGACGCCAACCGTGAGGGCCCGCCACCCTACCCTTGAAGCATGTGAGAAAGTTAAATAGCGCAATGTACTCCAACAAACAGGTTAGGATATAAGAGCTTGTCTTAATACTCATGTTCATCCAATTTCATATCTCAAAAATCGAACTCTCACACTACGACTGTCAGCAAAGTTAAGATTACCTCACTCCTATTCTTTGTACATGGACAAATTAGAATTTTACCTTTTAGGGAAAGAAGATTTTACTTGTGGAATTTAGGCAGCATGATCCAAAACCAATCCCCTTTTTTTTTTTTTTTCCTTTTAATTTTCATTTTCTGGCGGGTTGGAGTCACGTGTTCATACATATGTCCCCACCTGCGACAGCCAAAATTCAACAATAAGCTTTATTTTAACAAATAGCCAGATGGCATTGAATTTCTCTTAACGGAAGAATGTTTCCATTTATTTTTATAATTTATTTTCATTCTTGTTTACATTATTTCTTTTTTTCTTTTTCTTTTTCTTTTTTCAGGTATATATGGCCCGCAATTAATGCAATCCTAGTTCCTATTTGAGATGGTATTGTCTCCGTTCTCATTTTACTTGTCACGAGTAAAATAATTCACATTGTTTTAGTGAAAATAATTTTAGCACTAGAAATTTGTTATCTTCATTTGATTGTCATCGTACTAAATTGCAAACACCCTAACGTTTTAATTCTTGTAGTAGAAAAACATCAATGAAGTAATATAATAGTGATATCACATTTCAAACAATGTTTTCTCATTTGTTAACAAGGATTGAAACGTCAAAGTATCGACTATTTAATGCATACTTAAATTTTTCTTCAAAACAAGACCCAATTAACATAAGAGAGAACATATCTATTCTCCACTTAAATGGACTAATTTTGTTAGTAAAATTTGTTATTCTTATAGCTCGTTTAGTTATGTTATGTTTTTGTTTATAAACCGTTTTTATTGTTAATAAACAAAATTAAATGATGAATATGTGTAATACTTGTAAATTTCATGAAACATATCAATAAAAAATTATTTTTACCAATAATAAATAATTGATAAACAAAAAGTCAATCAAAGGCTTATTGTTACAGGATTACCGCATGTTTAGGCTACATTTAAAACTTATTTTTCAAATAAATTAACTTTTGTAGTTGAAAAATCGCTTAAAAAATTATATTTGACAAAAGTAGAAACTTCAACTTCTTTTATGCTTAAACAATCAATGTCCAATTCTCTTTGGATATATTAAACACAGACAAGCAAAAGATTCTCTCAAAATAGATGGCATAATCAAACACATCACTTGTTGAGGAATGCTTAAAAACTACGAATTAAACAAAATGTACAGATATAAAAATACATTTAACCAAATTAAAGTATAATTAATACACAACCAAGCATCTCAATAAATTTGAGCTCAACTACTCCGATACTTTTCGTAATCCTCTCTATTGATTGCTAGTATACTAGGAATAGCATACTCGATCAAGTCAACAAAGAAAGCAACATTCAATACAGGTGTAGGCATAACTGATTTCATTGTTTTCCTAAAGCCCACTTCACATTGCAACTACATAATAAGACAAGTGACGGAATCTGGGAACTTCAATAGAATTACAACAGGGATACAATGAGGTGGGAATCTCTTCATTCATAAGCTTCTGAGCATCCTCTAGGAAGTTCGGAAATACTAAGTATAGCCATCCTTTAACTACAATGTTACTGTTTGAGAATTCCATACACTGGTTTAAGGTAGTTCTAAATTGAATAGGCACTGACTATTCACTAAATAGCCAATTTAATGCACGATCTCGATCTCTCACCAAGGTTGTCCTTTCCCTCCAATTCGTCGCGCCAGCTCAAAATCCTTCTTCACTGAGCAGTAAGAAAAAAAAACGCTTTACTGAATTAGGAGTGCTCAGCCAGAATGATACTAGTGCAGATATTAGGCAAATTGCAAGGACTGCAAGATAAATTAGCAAAAAAGGAAAAAATAGTTTAACCATCCCCATATGGACAGTGCCAATACCTAAACATGGGGGCAAGATAGTGTATGAGACTCTTGAGAACGTTACCAATGAAAATATTGAGCGATTACCCCTTCCTCCGGGCAAGTGGGTATGAACCTCCACTCATAAGTACGAGTTTCATAGAGAGAGTTGTCTTAGGCCACTAGGTATTCTCTACCTACCCTTCATAATCTTCAGTTCACTCCAATTGTATTCTAAACATCTTGAATTATCATGGCAGATCATATATCTAGATTTTAATTCATAAACACAAGCATAGTATGTGGTACGAAAAATTTAACTAGGAATCTGAGACAACGAGGCCATTATGAAATGAAGGAGATGCTCTTATCTACTGAAAATACTTTTGGCTTTTCAAAACAATGCTAGCATTCTAGACACCCATCCTAGTCTACAATCTCTATTTTCAAGGACTTGACAGAGACATAATACAAAAGAAAGTACCAAAGGCAATTATGGAATCATATAACGATTAGATCTAGTTTGGCATCTTTGTACATCCATTAGTGATGAAGAACATTAAAGCATTTAACAAGCAAAACTTACCCACTATCACACGTATATCCACCAAAAAATATTATTATATTTGATAACCTGCTGCTACCTCCTTTGCTTCTACTAAATCAAAAGGTAATCTCTCACACTGAGCTAGAGAAGAAATTAGGAAAATGATAAAATCTATATATTGACGCCACAAATTCCACTTGCCAAAAACCAGATTTTGATTGTACGTCCAACTATATCAACTGTACTTGAGCTGTTGGATAATCATATTCAATTTCAAAAGACTAATCCTAGTCAACAATCCCTATTTTGAGGACTTGACAATGAAATGGTATAAAAAAAGGCAATTATCTACTGAAGAAACTTCCAAAGGCAAATCTACTGAAAATAATTTTGACTTCCAAAACAAGGCAAGCATTCAAAAGACTCATTCTAGTCAACAATCCCATTTTCAGGACTTGACAAAGAAATGGTACCAAGAAGAAGGAAAAAAAAAAAAAAAACCTTCAAAAAGCAATTATTAAACCACGTAACAATTAGATCGAGTTGGCATCCCCGTACATCCATTAGTGATGAACATTGAAACAATTTTAAGAGCAAAACTTACTCAGTGTCACTCGCTTAGCATGAATTGCACATAGCATTGCCTCTTCAAACAATTGCACTATATAATCCTCTGCAGCCTGCAAAAATAGCCAGCCAAAAAGGGCAACACATTGAGGTAACCATGATTAGGTATACCAGAATCGAAGGATAAAAACTATTTACATGACGTCATGAAGCAAACTGTGAAAAGAGGATATTATGCCCCTGTTTGAAGGCCATTATTTGGGGAAAACAATGTTTTGGATAATGAATTTTTAGAAAATGTGCGGTTAAAAAGTAGGGAAATGTTTTGAGTTTATGTGCAAAAATTTTATTGCGTGAATGCGTGGTTACCAATGAATATGTAGAAAAAATAGTTTTGAATTAAAGGTCATCAAATAGGGGCTTTATCTGCTATATATTATAAATTGTGCTCTTTGAAACCATCACAAGCATTATAAAAAAATTGACAATTAGTATATATCTAGGCTACAAGCACCAGAATGTATTGAATCAAGTTGTCAGAAAGAGGTTCATGAACATGAAAAATATCAAATATAAAGAGGCATATCACGATAGTGACAGAAGCAAGAACATTTTGAAAGAGCTTAATACCTCCTGAAGGGCTACCAAGGCTTCTGCTGTCCAACGTCCAACCTGCGGTGAGTAGAAGTGACTAATCTCTTTTACCTGTTGTATTTTACACAATAACACATTTCAAATTTCCTGAAAAAATAAAGTTCAGGGAAGCACAGTATTTGTGCATTTCAACATCTTACTGGTGTAATTGCTGTGCTAAATTTTGATCTCGCATTGATGTAAAAAGCTGGTAGTCGCATGACAAAATGATATGGATGAATATCAAGAGAGTTAAACTGAAACATATATTATTGGAGACACTCAACTTTTTAAGCGAGGAACTGAAGCACAATAGAAGAAGCTAGAGAAACGGATGACGGTGATGTCTATATCTAATCAGAAACTACAGATTGAACTGTTGTTATGTGCTGTAATATAGTGATTTAGAATGACGACAAGCACATGGATGTCATTTACAGCTGTTGTGAAAACAAATAAAAGCACCAAATGTAGCAAATAAAGATTTACTTTCCATATTAAAGCATCTCCCATAGGAGCAAAGAATTAAACCTGTGAGATCAATTCAGTGTCAAAAGGCACAGCATTGTTGATTGCCATCTTACTCTAATAGGAAGCTTATGTGTGTGAGTACATACATATAATAAATACTGAATTGGGTAATCAAAACTGAATTTGAGACACACTGATTGTATCTTATGTCAAGGCCATATGATAGCCTTAATGCTTCAATCAGTCCATTGTTGCAATGCCATTGTTTCCATTATTAATAGTACCAGATAAGCATTTCGGGCTTTCATCCAAAGGATAGAATGGCACAATTAAATAGAAACACATGAATTAGAAACTAGTTAATGACTTTCTATAGTCCATTTATTGACAACATTAATAGTCCCCAGAAACCATCCTTGTATAAACTAGTCAGTACATCACAATTTCAAGGGGAAAAACCTAAATTAATCAGCTACATTCAGCCATAATTTTATAATTTCCATTTCATAATTTCATCACATAAGCAGCTAACTGTAGTAGGGCTGTGAATTTTTGAATCCTATAATCAGAAAGCAATGAACTTCCAAACCCCCAGAAAGTACTTTATTTGTCAATCAAAGTTATTCACAAATCACATAGCAAAACGTCAAAAATGTGCAGATGATTGCGTGAAATTACTAGTCTAATAAACGGAGCAGCAGGAATGAGAAGGTTAATAGACTTCTGATATTTCCGAATCTCGCGAAGAGCCACCGTCCCAGGCCTATTTCTCCGCTTTTTTCTCTGCCTGTCCCCATCTCTTTCAGCTAAAAAACAAAACAAAACATCACACCCACATTCCTCCCACTCAAATATTTCAAGAAAGAACTCAAAATAGAATGTAATAAATAAACAAACACACTCACTTCGCGGAGTAGTCCTTGGGCTTCTTCTAGCAGGTGACGACTAATCAAATAAACAACAATGCCACATCTCAAATCTCAGAAACAACAAAAATAAAAAATGAAAAAAAATTATGTATACATTATGAAAGTGCCGAAGAGCATAAAATACCTGAGCACTTGGTTCTGGGGGAGTAGCTTCTGCAGCTGAAATTACAGATAGAGAGTAAAATTAGGGTTCCAGAAAATAGGCAAAAAAGTAAAATTACTAAAAATATATTTTATATATAACATATATTTAGAGAGAGAGGGTTAACGGGTTGACCGGAGGATACCCGGCGACGAGTTTTCCGGTTAGCCGACTGTTTAACTCGGGCCATGGACCCTTTTTTATTATGTATTTAGCAATTATTGAAATTTTTATATGATTTCAGAGTTTTTTCCCCTAAATTTTTCGTTTTGAAAAGATGCTTTCCCGCTAGATTACACGAGGCGCTGTATTGGAGCTGAAAGCGTTGTTTAGGATACACGATTTTAGTGGGAAGATCAGCAACAAAGCAACTACGTTTTGAAAGAATAAAGCCTTTGCTTGTCCGAGAGTATTTTTTCTAAAATAATTTTTATTAACACATTTTGCTCCTCTCTGTTACTGTTATTTTCAAAATATATTTTTTCTCTCTTATTTTTAATCAAATATTTTTCAATAAAATATTATTATACGTAAAATCAAAAGTTCTCCTTATTTTTTAACTATACATTCTCCATCATAATATTATTCCAAAATGCATTTTGGTCAAAAAATGGGACTCAATTCGCAACTTTTTGAAAAAATGCTTGTTGTATATCACTCTTTATATAATCTTTTACAGATTGATGAGATGTAGAGATTTTTATTTTCAGTTAATGAGATTTTAATCATGTACATGTAATACAATCACAATTTTTTTCATTTTTCCACCATACCCTGTTCAAAAATCATTTTTTCCTTTGAAAAATGTATATGCCTAGCAAGGCATGAGAGTTACTTGGCACTTTCAATTCTTATAAGAAAACAATTCAAGTTTAAGAGCGTTTATTTAGCTAAAAATAAGTTTTGTGTATCCAATTTTCCTAAACTTAAATTGCACGCCAAATTTCGAAATAAGCAATCTAGTTGTATTTTGATTCTTTGACATGGAGCCAAGTAGACGCCAAATAGTATCACCTATATGTCAAAGAGAAGTTAAAATGTAATGTCTAAGATGACAAACATCCAAGTCACTAACGAGCAATGCTAAGCAACCCCATGTTCCCATGAGATTGACCTCACCTTGAATGAGGCGAGCCTCGAGAGGAGAATCATATCCATATCCAACCCACTAGCTAAGTTATTCGAAGAAAAAGAGGGCTTGTTCCCCTCTCCTAACAAGCTAGTGAATAGGAGATATTTTGACCCATAATCCAATGACAAGTTTTATTGGTCAAAAGATCTCTTCAAACTCGGAAAAAGTCAATCCAAGTCTTCTGCCTCCTTAACAAGTAATCACCAAAAGAGGAAAGCGACTACAATCGGGTCGACTACCCACCAACATGCTCTATACCAATAAGAGAAGGACTCTATAGACCAAACTCTCTCTGGCTCAAGATCAATCTATAAAAACTACCAAAAAAATACTAATATAGGTACGCAAGATTTTAAAACCTAGCTAAATCTCTCATTTTGTTTTCCTACATTTATGGGCTGTTTGATACACATTTTCTATTTCATAAAATGAGAAATATACCTGTTGGTGCACATTCCTCCATGAAATTGTGATATCAAAGTCAACAACTGCGGCTTTATGGGGTCCACTAACAGTCTGAATTATTCTACAAGTGAGGAAATAATGTGGAACAAATAGATATTTAATCTACAAAACTGATTTGACCGTTGGAATACATATAGCCAAGATCTTAAAACTAGGGGCCGTTTGTCTGCTTGTGGGCTCAACTCGTCCAACTCGATCCATTGATCGCTTGAACTTGTATTGATACAAGTCATAGGTTGAGCAAGCCAGGTTCAAGAGGTCCACAAGATGGCTCGTCTTGAAATTGTAAATTGACTCGATTTTTAGTTTATTTATTAAAAATAAAAAATACAACGCATGGGCTCGGCTCATGTCCACACAATCAAAGGGAAAAGCCAGCTCAGCTCAGGTTTAGATTGGCCCATTACCAATCCTTATTACAACGGCCTTACATTCTAACATGTTTGGAGGGGACACTGTGTTGATAGTAAAGACCCACAAATGCTAAGATCAACAAATTTTGTCAAACAACGAATAAGATATAAATTTAATAAAAAATGTCTAAAATAATAGACTTTCACGTGAAAGTAGAAACCAAGTAAATATTAAAAAAAAATTAACAAAAAGAAATACTCATTTAAAATAATCGTGTACCCCACATCTTGTGAGTGTACTGTAAATATGTACAGGTGCTGTACATATATCATTTCCCGAAAAATTTTGGCGTCCTTACTTTTTGTTGATTTTTTTTTTTAATATAAATAATCTGTTAGAAAAATACCAACACAAAGAATGAGATAACGAACATCAAACTAGGAATCCTCTCCACCATGGACCGTGGAAATTTCTCATAATACAACAGATGTAAGCTCAAAAACCTCGTCCTACAAGGTTTATATATTCCTACAACTCTGGTAACACAATTATGTGATTTCCAGCCAAATACGAATCTATGTATCAATTCCTTATATATCCCATTAAACTCGTCCAATCTCTATGGCTGTGATGGTATAGGTGATGATGGTGGCTTATAATCGGGATACTGCAATCAAGAAAGAAAATATATCAATAAACTTAACTCTCTAGACAACAGTATAATGATAATATTTAGCTACTATTTTCATCGTTATTACTGCCTAATCCACCTTTTTAGATGTGCATTAAAAGTTATTGACGACGTGTCATGAGAGTCATGTAATAAACACGTGCATTGCATAGACTCACATTAGGATATGGTGAAAGTGGCATAGAAATTCCAGGAAGGGATTCTTCTTTAACTTCTACTTTGGGAACTGAATTGAGTTCAGGAGTAGGCTCGGGAGATGCTTTGATTTCGGGTGGAGCATTGTTTACCTCAGTAATAGACTCGGATTTCTGAACATTAGTATCAACGGGAGCAGAGGCTGCCTCAGCTGGGGCCGGCAGAGCCTTGCTACTCACAGTCGATGGTAAAATGGCCCTGCCAATTTGCTGCATTTCCCAGTCGTCGAGTAAATAAAATGGTCATTGAATACAAACAAGCAGTAGATTAGTTGCAGACGCAACTTTAGTTTACCTTTATATCGCCCACAAGCTCTTTAGGCACAACTTTTGTGTTTAAAACCTCTTCAACTTCTTGTAGAGTTCGCTTTCTATCCTGCAACGAAAATGGTGGAACTGGAACTCCCTTTTAGGGATGTTTGTGTTCAAACATTGCACAGGTCCTTTTTGTAGTTTCACCTATTCTTGTCTTATTTATATTCAAGATCTTCTAATGACGGCTAATGCTATCATATGAACTTAAATAGCGAAATGAATTCACAAGACAAATTCGTGTCCTTGAATACATAATATGTATAGGGGTGAATCTTAGATTCTCAAGTTTAAAATAAGTGAATTGTAATAGAAAGTAAACAACAAACCTCTGCAAATAGGAGTTTCGTGCTAATGAACTGGATGAGAGCAGCAGAACCCAAAACTTGAAGAATTGTTTCCACCTGACATATAAGATAAAAATATTAGGTAATCCTTCTTTCTTCATAAAACTGTAAAATGCATGAGATTTGTAACCTCCGTAAAGGACAATAATCCTAGACCAGCAGCAGCAGCAAGGAGGGTCAAAGACGCAGCATCAGAGGTCTCCTGCACATCCAACAGCGCCTAAAATAAATGTTCGGAGAATACGAAGAAAAATGTATATTTCAACTGCTAAGAACATCTACAAATGTATGATATTGGAGTAGTTACATCCCCAGCTGCCCGAGAAATAAGATAGCGAAAGAAGAAAAAGAAAACAAAATATAGTTTCTCATGACTTCCCAGAATAAGGCCTGAATCATAGTTAGTTTGTAATAAGCTGCACACTCTATAAATAGTGGTACAAATGATAGAATATAAGGTAGAAATCTGATACAAGCTAAGGAATTTACCCCCAAAGCACCACCAATTGCATCTGTAAAACCGCTTATATCTAGGCTCAATGTCTTCTTCGGAAGTATCCAAGGAAGGCCACTATTCTGCACACAATTTCATTTATCTTTAAGTTCGAATATATGTGCTGTTTCAAAAAGTAAAAGTAGAATATAAGAAGTAACCATCCATCCTCTGGGTCCTTCTGCACCATCTTTAATAGCATAAGCAGCTTTGTAGCCATTGGCTGTTACCAGCTCCGCAACAAGCTCAGAGTTGCCGTCAAATCTGGCTTCATTGCAATTCAAACACATAAAGTTGTATGTAATTGGTTAATATTACAAAACAGATCTTTGTCTTAATAAGGTTGTAGATTAAGGGGCAACCATAGCTCCAATGAATCTATTATCACGATAAGGCCGAATATTAATATTAATGGGGAGTACCTAGATAATGGGCTCTGCCCCTCCACCATTTCGAAGATTAAGAAACTGTCTAATGCAACTACATAATTCACTGACTAGGTTTGGGATTTTTTGCTATTCATTAGCTTTTTTGAGTAGTATTCATGGTGATAATAAAAATCAGTTACAGCACTAAAGGGACATCTTAAAACCTGGCCTTATGTGCATAAACGACTTATGGAAGGCGTCTAATAGCACATATGCTAAGGTTAATTAGACTGTAATTGTTTATAAAAGATGAAGATTAACTCAAGGAAAAGTGAATAACTATAAGCAGAATAAGCAAAATACAGAGTCTCTTACTTGTCCAGAATGAACAGAGTGGTATTTTCAGGTTCTTTAAATTTCAATGCCAGCTTTTTCAAAAAGCCTGGTTTATCTTCCCCTTTGTAAGCGACAGCCACCGACCTCTTCTTCAAACCCCGAACATCTGGGCTTCCGACTTGCCTCAACTCTCCTGGTGCTCTTATATCAAGCAACTGAGCATTGGAATCATCAGCCAGTTTTTTATAAGCATTCTTAGCACTCTCCACTCCCCATGGCTTAGGCTCGCTCAGCAACTGAGCAACCAGTAATGGCACTGCCAAAGTCACCGCACCACCGCCAATAACAATGGGATTCTTCACAACAAAATTGATCACACTATCAAAAACTTTACTTGGATCAAAATCTCCCCTGGTAACTGATTGCTGTAAAGCTCCATCATATGTTAATGCCTTCGCGAACCCGGAACCAAGAACCGAAGACAAAAGGACTAATTCACCTTGAAGATTTCTTGATAAAGAAACGGCAAGACTTTGGTTCTTCAATGGTGGAAATGAGGCAAGTGATAAATTTTTTCTTGGTTTATTTCTTTTTGCAAGAACAGAAAGTGGGGTTAATCCAACCGCATTGAGGGCATCCATCGCATAATTCAGTGACTCCTCAAGCTTTGAAGAAGCTTCTTCATTTTGTGCTTTCCGGTTCAATGGTTGGATTTAGGATGGTGTCGTGATGTGGAAGAGGGAATGAGATTGTACCAATTACTGAATTACACGGGTCAAATAAGGATGGAGCGTTAGCGTGTGGCTTAAAAAAATCTGAGGAAGCTCGTAGAAAATTCTTTAATGTAGTACCAGCTACCATTTACACAGTATTAGTACAGGTCAGTTGAACTTCTTGTTTGATAAGAATTGGTTGCTGTGCTGTACGTTTTCGCAAAGCGAACATGCACTCAGTTTGTTACGTCTTTGTAACATGGACAACATCTTTCAAAACTTGGTAGCTAAACCACATACGAATACAATTGGCATTCGACGGCGGCACTTATGCAGTAAGCAGGCGTGCCTGGCTAACGTAAACATTTTAAATACCTTTTGCAGCGCCGGAAGGAGATAAATCAACCCCGGATCCTTCGATGATACATCACTCACGTGGTGTATTGAGGTAAAAGCCAATAAAAGGAAAAGTAAAACAACTTATAAAAATTAAGCATATACGTACACAAAAAAAGTTCTTTATCTTGTTACAAACTGGAAAACTAACTTGTGCCTCCGTCAAAAGTAATCCATCATATCTGTAGAAATAAGAACCCGCCTTGATCACAATATGTCGAAAAAATAATCCAGACCTTGTCCGATTTCCCAGATTGCAATGCCGGCCCCCCAAGAAAGAGCTTCTTCGAGCCTCATTGAAATTGATTTCAGTGATGGGTAGAATACTACGTGCTTGACATTCTGCTTATCGGAATACACGAAGAAATGTTCAGCACTGTTCTCGTCCCATTGCAGTGCAGGCCTATGTCGTTCCAACAAGGACAAATAATCCGTTCCAAGGATAGGTCCACTGCCTAAACCAGCAAATAAAATAATTTAAAATAAATAAATAAATAAACTCATCTTATAACAAGTTACATGGTACATACCTCCAGAAACGATGAAATCATTCCCATAAAAGTTGACGCCAACAAAAATCATTTGATCGAAATTCTCATGATCATGGGTAGTGCCGTCAAGGAGAAGCTGCAAGGCGTACTGAATCCACTTTAAAGGTGCATTGGGACCAGGATTTTGAGGACCTGAGAAGTCGTAAGTCATAAGAGAGTAACCGTTTACGGCTTCACTTAAGCTCTGGATATCTTGTGGCCCAAAATCATACTCCTCTAGTTTATCCGAACGAGGTGGACCAATAACATACAGTAATTGCAAAGTTTGTTTACTATGCTCCAATGTTATGGAGTGCATGGCCTGTCCCAGTTGCTGGATAAATTGCAGTGCCTAGGTTTGCAAGTAAGAAGGATTATATCAGCAGCAGTCATACATTATTCCGTATGCTGCATTACGCTGAACTCCAATGATTTGAAGCCAGAAAATCAGTTGCAGCTAGAATATTCCACATTAACAAGCAGGCTTAGGAAGGTGAAAGAAGCAAAGAAAATACATACATTAGATCTTCATCATACACGAAGCATTATAATCTTTACATGTTAGACACGATGATCAGAAGTATGGTTCTGTTGCAGTGAAATGTCCTTGTATGATTCCCATTATTCCCAAAATATCTCTCTCTCTCTCTTCTTTTAACCACACGTTATTCAATCAAATAATATTACACGTAAACCCAAAACTTTTCCTCATTTTTTAATCACAAATTCTCCATCAATATACTATTCCAAAATGCATTATTCAATAAAAATTGGACTCAAACAGGCTCATAAATACTAGTCCAAAATCAGAGGTTCAATTGACTCAGCAGTAGAAATTAAACTAATATACATCTTTTCTAATTCAGCTTGTAATATTAATGACGAGAAGTATAAAATAGAAAGGCACTGCACCGTAATTCAAATGGCATAGTGGATGGAAGGGCAAGAAAAGCCCAAAAGTGGTATTTAAATGCAAAAAATGCTGCAGAAAACCATTATTACCATAGAACGCATTTCTGGATCATGCAACACACCGTAGGCTGCCCACCTCGACCATGATTCCAGTACGATACCATCACAACCCATTTCCCTTTAACGATGAAAATAATAATAATATGTTACAAACAAATAAGACGATTTGTGGGTACAACAACCTTATTCTGCAGTTCACATATACTCAGCTCAGAAGGACATGATTCAAAAAATTATTATGACAGATAACAACTAAATATAGAGAAAAGGAAGAAGAAAATAAAACGCTAACTTGCATTCTGTAATGATCAGGTCAACTGCTTTATTTCTCTGCTTCTTCTTTTTCAGCAAATTCAAGGGATGGGCTTCCAAAACAACTCTAGGCAAAACCTGCTTTCTCATAAACATGGTAAAGGTACATTAAAATCAGTGATTACTCAAGCATAACATAATAAGGCAAGTTTTACTTTATACATAAAAATCATCCCAATGATCATATTCACATGCCTAGAAATTTAGAATGCTTCTGAGTAAGAAATGGATCACAATCTGATATTTAACAAAGCTGACATCATAAAGTTTTAGCATCAAAATTTAGCTTCTGCATTTCATTTCTTTGGAAATCCAAGGACGCAGATTGATAAAAACCAAAACTAAATGATCTATGAATGAAATTCGGAATTGGCTACGAATGAAATTCAGAATTGGTTTACATATTTCTAATACTAAAGCATGCAATACAAAACACAACTTAGATTCTTGTCTTATGAATTGTTGCCATTAAACCTTTTTCTCCACCTTTAAGTTTGCTTCCAATTCTGGAACACTCAAGAAATGCATAAATGTCAATTGATGGCAGCTTAAAAATTAAATATTTAATTATGGAATCAGAAGTCAACTAACCAGGGCATCTCCTTTCATCCTGAGCTCTGCAATCCATTCTTTATCAGCATTATGCCTTCCCTCCATAACCAATTTGGTGTCTTGGCTGGCATCATTCAGAACTAGGATCACATGAATTAGTACAGAGCAATAACCATTCAGTGTAAGTAATTTTTCACACATCTTTCACATATAAGCCAAAAAAAAAAAAAAAAAAAAAAATCATAAGAAACTTTTACATAAATCTCACTCTGATCTCATTGTCAACCATAATATCGAAGGAGGGGGAAAAAATTTCAATCAATCCTCTATCCAAAAGAATATTAGGAAACTGATAGTATGTGTAGCAAGGATGTATTTAGAACTCAAACAAAATATTCAGGAGATAAGACTAATCACAATCAATTAGAAAGAGTAATGTAACCCATACAGCAGGGATTATCTTGCAAAATATGTATTATTAATAAACGAAACGAGATAAAACCAGGTGCAAGAGCCATATACAATAGCTAATACTACAACCTAAGAGTACAAGTAGCAGTAAAAAACCAAAAGGAGCAAAAATTACAGTAACAATACAATCTCCAAATCTGAAAGCACAGGGATTGATTCAGAATAGAAATATTCGAAATTAAAAACTTAATCACTTAGTAATCTGGAATCCCATACCTCTTAAGTTCATACCACACGGGTGATAAATGTGTAAACTTATGATTGAACTTCTTTGCCATCTCATATCCCTTAGAATTCCTGCATCATTTGCAATTCAAGCATTTACACGGCAACCCTCCACCTAAACTAACATTGTAAGGTAAGCTACAAGAAAAACTAAATACACAACTGGCTAAGCTTTTAAGTGTTTATATGCAATTCTTCACAAGAAATCTGTGGTTAAAATGAAGATAAAAGTTTTCGGTCGTAAAAATATGTGTGGTTAAAAATTATGTTTGATCATCTTATAAGCAATTAAAAGCTTTGAAAACGTACACTTACATGTCCTCGGGGCTTCAAAGATAAAATACAATTTTCAAGCATAAATATATATTTGGACTAGCTAGACTGTGACTAAAATATAAGCTATACTAAAGATAGTCGAACTGATTAAGAGCTTGCTTGGCTTAGCTTATTTAAAAAATAAGTAAATAAAATAAAATGAAAAAGACAAAAGTTGGCTTCTTTTTGAGCTTCCTTTTTCTTATAATGCTAAATAAACTAGCTTCTTTTTAAAGAAGCAACGTCAAACATTAGTGCTCAATTGGAACCAAATTCAGCTGATAATCTTGTGTAATAATCATCTATGCATTTCTTGTTCACATATTAAATGCTGTTATTTTATATTATATTGAGAAAAAACTTAATAATACTATTTTAAAATGAAATTACCATGGAGTGAGGTAGGCTAGCACGGCATTCTTGAAATTCCGGCGACTGGAATTTTCGGATGCCTTCATATTCTCCTGAATTTTTAAAACATTAACATAGACAAAATAGAAACAATCTATTTTCGAATTAAACGATATCAGAAAGGAAATTAAGCTAAGAAACTCAGAGAATCGAAGTGCATACACTGAGGACTTGATGATAATGAATATCAGTCTTTACGAGACCGCGCTGGTAGACGTACGGTAGGTCGGATCCAGCATTCATATTCTTATGCGCATTCGAAGCATGGAGTTTACGGTATAAGATTACGCAAATAGTGGAAGATAGGATGAAGAAGAGGAAAAGGGTGTAGCTGGTGCTTGTAAGCTTGTGATCTGCCTTGATTCTTCGAGTAGAAGAATCGACATGGCTCGATTTACCATCGCTACTGAGTCTGACTCGCCTATCTTTCTTTTTCGCCATGACGATTCAACTCCGAGTCACGAAGCAGTCCATCGTATTCAAGTTTAGTGTTTATATGAGCAAACTTGGGCTGGATCAGCTCAATTTTGGCCCAATATTTCACCCATCCTTTGAGGGCCTAAGCCCAAAAATAATCTCACTTCTTAGGGTACTTTCAACTTCCTAAACCCAAAATAAAAAGCATTATGTAAAATTGCAACATTCGTCCCAACCTTTAGCAGGTGTGTCTCCAATCTACCATTTGTTGCACTCTTGTCCTCGACTTTTAAAATTATTGCATTTATCTCCCAAGTAATGAAAAACAATTATTCAAGTATTAAATGTCTATGTAATACTTATGTAATATTGGGGGATAGAATGAAGTAAGGGCATATATTTCATGAAAACCCATAATTTTTCCATATTTGAAAATTTAAAATTAAACTTCAAGTCATCATTTGAATTGTTTTGCAATAAAGAACTTTATTGAACAATTTCAATCTTTTAATTCAACATCATTTGGCCACTTAACTTCTGAAGCCTCAAAAGAGAGCACCATATAGTACAGGGTAAATTCATCCATATGTTCTCAACCATTCATTGTTCTGGCATCAATATCTCAACTGATATCTTTGACTTTCAAAATTATGGCAATCATGTTCCTAACTAAACAAAAATATTCATTTGGAAGATAAGTGACGCAACATTTTTTGGAACTTGCTAAAAGAAAGGTAACATAGGTACTACAGGTGGAAAGTTTAGTTATTGAACAAATTTATCAAATAAAATATAATAATAGCAAATCATTATTTTTATTTATTTTTCCAGTATATTAACTCGTCACCATTTCCTCATTTTCTCATCCCACGTCCATCCCCTGCATAGTATACACACTTCCACAATCAAATCAAAATCTTCAAATATTATCGACATTACATTAATTTACCGAAACTAATAACTGGGCTTCAATGGGATTTTCAATTTAGTTTGTTCACATCTGTCTAATTTGTTAAATTATGAAGTTCAGCAAGGAAATAAAGAAGAATCAAGAGCAACTCAAACACAATGGCAGCACACATGAGTCATTAGTCTAGCAGGATGCATAACTGGATTTTTTTTTGGAGTCTAGAAGAAGAATACTCTAGAAACACTGCTGAGGAATATGTCGGTGTATAGCTGGAGTTTGTTTCCTTATTCTATTATTTTGTGCAGTTTTCATATTGCAACTTTTACAGAATTAGTTAGATTCATTTTCTTCTTTATAAATAGCAAGGTGAAAGAATATGAATTAACATTCCGCTCCAAATATTTTCTTCATATTTCATTTTTTGATATGGTATCAAAGCCAATAATGGCTTATTCAAACAATTCCGCTGAAGCAAATATTACCCAAAGCAGTATCAACATTGCTCAAACCAGAGATACAAATTTTGATCCTTCACACCCAAATAACCCCTTCTACATAGGTGCAAATGATAACTCTGGATCCTAACTCGTTTCTCTCGTATTGCATTCAAACAATTACCACTCATGGGCAAGATCAATGAAGCAAGCACTCCAAATCAAAAATAAACTTTGTTTTATCAAAGGAAGCATTAGCAAACCTATTGCTACAGATAGCCCTCTCATGGAGCATTGGCTTTGATGTAATGACATAGTAATTAATTGGCTACAAAACTCCATGACAACTGATATCAAATGCAGTACACTATATGTTGATACAACTCACAAATTATGGAAGGAACTTGAGCAAAGATTTGCCCAACAAAATGCACCACGGATCTTTGAAATTAAGCATAACATTGCCAATTTACTGCAAAATCGGGACAATGTAAGTGTGTATTTTTTGAAATTGAAGACACTCTTAGATGAATTGATGAATTATGAATCTGTTCCTAGCTGTCTTGTGAAGGATTGAAAATCATGATAAATAACCAACAAAGAAATTGGGTTATAAAATTCTTAATGGGGCTTAATGATTCTTACAAAAGTCTAAAGGCACAGATTCTTCTAATTAAACCATTCTCAAGCTTGAATGAAGCACATGCTTTTATCCAACAAGAAGAAAAGAGGCGACAAATTTCTTTTGACAATCCAACTGATGACTCTATGGCAATGTTAGCAAAAGGAAATTTCAGTGTGGGAAAATCATATCAAGGAAATCCAAGGAAGAACAGGTATTATTGCACCTTTTGTAAGATTCCCAGTCACTCCTTTGAAAGGTGTCGCAAAGCTAATCCTAACAAGGCACCATATTTCCACTGTCAAATTCCTGGACACTCAATAGATAGGTGCTACAAACTACATGGACACCCTCCAGGACACAAATTAGAAAGAATGAACAAAACTACTAGACCTTCTATTAACGTAGTCACTACACTTATGCCTTTTAATCATGAGTAGTACAATGATAACACACAACTTTCTTTAACACCAGAGCAGTATTCCCCACTAATGGCACTACTTAACCTAAAACATCACCAATAACTCAACCTTGTCATTGCCAGTCATGGTCAAAGCATTGCTACCACTTCCACTAATGTTTCTATACCAAAATTATCTAGTATTTCTCTTGGTTTATTAGCATTTAATACAAAGCACCATGATGTCATTACTGCTCCCTGGATATCAAACACGGGGACAACAGACCATGTGGTCTATTCCACCTACTTTTTTTCTTCAAATCCAATATCTATTTTGTTTCTAGTAACTTTACCCAATGGAGATATGGCTTCTATTAGTCTTGTTGGGTCTGTAAAATTCACAGATTCCATCACTCTGAAAAATGTATTATACACTCCTTCATTTTCTTTCAACCTCATTTCAGCTAGGAAAATGACACAAAGTTTAAATTGTTGCCTTATTTTCTTCTCTGAAACTTGTTTTATTCAGGATCTTTCAACTTGGACAACAACTAGAATGGGTAAGGTGCATCATGGACTGTACCACTTGCTGCAAAAGAAAGTATGTCCTTCAGCATTAATAGACACTCTCGCCTCAATCTCCACTAAACTTCCTACTGCTGCTTCAATTGTGAACAATTCTAAAGAATTGGACCTATGGCACTATAGATTAGGTCATTCATCACACCCCACTTTATGTTTATCTGTTTATTTGCCATAAATAAGAAGCCATGTCCTATGTGTCCTCTAGCAAAGTTACACAAAATTTCTTTTCCTTCAAGTAAATATAGATCAGAAAAATATTTTGAACTTTTACATTGTGATTATGGAGACCATGGTGTAATGAAGTTAACCATGATGGTTCGAGATACTTTTTGACCATAGTTGATGATCATAACAGATGTACTTGGGTCTATCTCTTAAGACAAATATCTGGTGCTTCCAATGTAATTCAAATTTTTCACAACAAGATTGAAACACAATTTGAAACTAAAATCAAAATAATTTGTACTGACAATGACCCTGAATTTAACATGCCAGAATTCTACTCAAAAGAGGCATCATACATCAAAAATCTTCTGTGGAAACACCACAGCAAAACGCAATCGTTAAAAGAAAACACCAAAAGATTTTAAATTTCACCAGAGCATTAAGATTTTAGAGTGGAATTCCACTGAAATTTTGGAGTGATTGTGTCCTCGCTACCGTTTTATCTTAGTCACAAAACACCATTTGAATTGTTGTTTTATAAACAACCCACATATTCTAATCTTAAAGTATTTGAATGCTTGGCTTTTGCTACAACTCTAGTTCATATCAGGCACAAATTCGATCCTAGGGCTCATGGGTATGCTTTTCTTGGATACCCGTTTGGCATCAAAGGGTATAAACTCATTGACGTAGAAACAAACAAAATCTTCATCTCTCGAAATGTCCTCTTATATGAAAATCTTTTTCTTATAAGGAAGTTTCTGCCACTATATATATTCCCCTCAAAGATATTTCTTATCATATCTTTGAGGTTGCAGAGTTTAAAAACACATATGTTAATGAAAATTCATCGATTCCTTTATCTTCTCCCAACCTTACACCAGTAACCACGAATCAGATTCATCCATCTAAGAACACCCCTCACATTCATCTATCCAAGAACCTCGTCATCTCTAACCAATACTTTACCAGCCATAGAACCTCATCATGCATCACCACTTCCTGCTTTGCGTAGGTCCAACAGAGTTAAGAAGTTACCTTCTCATTTGCAGGATTTTGTTTGTCAACATGCCAGCTCAACTTCCCATTTCCAGGAATTGACCAAGCAGCGGGTCACAACACCTTCAGGTAAACCTTTTCCTTTAAATGCCACTGTCTCTTACCGTAAACGTTCATCCCTATATAAAGCTTTTGTTGTTTCAATCACCGCACATATAGAACCTAAATGCTTTGAATAAGCTATACAATCGCCTGAATGGTGTAGTACTATTAAAGCTGAGATTCATGCTATTGAGTTAAATAAAAGTTGGGTAATTGTTGACCCGCCATCAGATAAAAGGGCTATAACGTATAAATGGGTTTACAGAATTAAATTTCATGCAGATGGGACCATTGGAAGGTACAAAGCCAGAATAGTGGTAAAGGGGTATACACAGCAGGAAGGCTTAGATTACCATGACACATTCCCACTGATGGCTAAACTTGTCACAGTTTGAACTCTGTTGGCTATTGCAACAATTAAAGGTTGGTATTTGTACCAATTTGATGTTAATAATGCTTTTCTACATGGGGACTTGGATGAGGAAATGAATATGGAATTAATTCCAGGTTATCAGATTGTTAATGAATCAAGTAATTGCAAGAAAGTATGCAAATTACATAAAAGCTTGTACGGTCTCAAGCAAGCTTCATGACAATGATATTCTAAACTCTCCAACTTCATATAGGCCAAAGTTTTACACAATCTAAAGCTAATTACAAACTATTCACCAAATCTACCTCACATTCATTCACAGCCATACTTTTTTTTTTTACAAGGTGTCTTATTCTAGACTAATCCTTGGGTCTGTGATCCGGCCCCTCTTCACACAGTCCGGTTAATCGCAGGATGTGCCTCCAACTGGCCAGGGTCCGAGCGCTCCCCACCTGGTCTGACAAAGTGCCAAGC